CACGACTGTGGTTGGTTTCCACCCTTGTTGATGTTGTCTCGGGCCCTGGCCAGCCCCACTAGGTATGGAAACTGTGCTGAGCAGCTCAAATAGGCAAGCCCCATGAAAAAGCCCTACTTTGGCGAAATAGGGTTTCACGATTGTGGATCAGTCGGTAAGGAAACGCCCTTCTCACTTAAGCACTCCCGACCCGCGCGCAACGTACACGCGCGCGCGCGCGCGCAACGTGGGAAAAGAGAAAAAGTTTTCAGAGGGTGGGGTCGAGCCTGAGCCTCGCGCTACGACGGTTGCGGTGTTTCCAACTAGGCCGCTCGCGCGTCGATTTGGCAATTTGGGTCCCTAGTTCCAAACCTTAAAACAAACCCTTTTGGACAAAAATTGGGTTTCACAACGGTTGATTGGCTCGCTGCCGTTTTGGCCTGGTTTCCCAACCTACCAAGGCCTAGTAAGTAAAGATCATGAGCCGCACAGCTCTAAAAGGCAAGCCCCCTGAAACGACCCTATTTCGGCGAAATAGGGCTTCACGACTGTGGATTGGTTTGCAACCTTCTTGCTGTTGTCTCGGGCCCTAGCCATCCCCACTAGGCATGGAAACTGCGCTGAGCAGCTCAAATAGGCAAGCCCCATGAAACGACCCTATCTCGGCGAAATAGGGTTTCACGACTGTGGATTGGTTTGCAGCCTTGTTGATGTTGTCTCGGGCCCTAGCCAGCCCTACTAGGCATGGAAACTGTACTGAGCAGCTCAAACAGGCAAGCCCCATGAAACAACCCTATTTCGGCGAAATAGGGTTTCACGGCTGTGGATTGGTTTGCAGCCTTGTTGATGTTGTCTCGGGCCCTAGCCAGCCCCACTAGACATGGAAACTGTGCTGAGCAGCTCAAATAGGCAAGCCCCATGAAAAAGCCCTATTTTGCCGAAATAGGGTTTCACGACTGTGGATTGGTTTGCAGCCTTGTTGATGTTGTCTTCGGCATGGAAACTGTGCTGAACGGCTCAAGTAGGCAAGCCCCATGAAGCAACCCTATTTTTGCGGGTTTCAGGACTGTGGATTGGTTTCCACCCTTGTTGATGTTGTCTCGGGCCCTAGCCAGCCCCACTAGGCATGGAAACTGTGCTGAACAACTCAAACAGGCAAGCCCCATGAAACAACCCTATTTTTGCGAAATAGGGTTTCAGGACTGTGGATTGGTTTGCAGCCTTGTTGATGTTGTCTCAGGCCCTAGCCAGCCCAAGTAGGTCAGGAAACTGCGCCTTGCAGCTCAATTAAACATAGACCACCCCCCCTCAAGAGAACACTTTTTTTCAAAGGCTTTGGAGCCACCCACCCGCTCACTCGTGCCAGCCAAGCACAAGCAAACCCCGATCAGCCACGTCCCTCCCAAGGGGTGCGTGTGCTGGTTGGGGGTCAAGAAGACAGATAGACAGACAGACAGACAGAGAGACAGCCCACCCAGCCAGCCTGCCAGGAGCCAGGCAGGCAGGCAGGCAGGCAGACGAGGTGACTGAAATTATTCAAATTAAACGAGGCGAGGTGAATAATTTCAAAACATTGAATTAAGACGAGGTACGAGGTGAACGAAATTAATGAAATTAGTTTAATTCACCCAGATATATATATATACACCAGCTGCTTCCAAGGGGTCACCAATGGATACCTCCATACTACTTACAGGTCTCCATTGGAAGCGCTAGGTATATAGTTGTTCTTCCGGCAGTGGCAGCTAGTGTTGTGACCACAAAACATTGATATATTGCAAAAATCAACCATGTGTTGCTCATTGTTTGAGGTTCACGAATGAATGAACACAAGGAGTCAAGGAGTACAGGAGTACAGGTGTTCATTTATAAAGACAACCTTTGTATCATAGTATAGCCCATGCAGTCCTTATACATCGACTCCTCAGATCTGGGGAAGAAAAGATGGACTATGTCGACTATGTATTGTAATTCGCAGAATCAGCTCGTTTTTGAATCTATTAAATCTGTGAGAGTTGAATCTGTGAAGTGTTTCCATCAGAAGTGTTTCACCCGATGCGTTGACAACACAACTAGGCATGTGGTTTTGAGATAATTGTGTTTGGGGCATTCTCATCCTGTCACAGCAGACAACCGGGTAGACGATCTTCGTGTGACCACTGACAAAGATTTGGAAATGTTCGATTCGCGAGCGATTTGGAATAACTTCCAGGAGTTTGGACGGGATTAGGGCGCACACCTATGGTATGACCCAGAAAATCTCTCACGTGGCTTGGGTCTCTAAACTACCCTTTTGGAATTGCTCATTGTTTTCTCTGGACCATCCGATTTGGGGCTTGGCCTTGGTGTGAATTCCACCTTTTGTCGCTTTTGTCTTCACAGCTCAAAGGATGCATTCTTTCTTCCAAGCTCTTAAATGATCTTAATATATCTCAATCTTGTTTCAAAAAGGATTTCAAATGGTATCAACTAGCTTGTTGTACTGAAAGGGTATGTTCAATGTCATTATGGTGTAGATTCTCGTTGTTCTTCGAAGTGGCTTCTCGCCCACGGGTCACCAGGTATCCTACCGTCATTCCTCATGGCGCGATGGCGAAGGTGGGTCTTGTCCAACAAGCAAAATAGCGAAATGTGTGATATGTCCCAACCTGAGGGTATGTCCCAACCAGGATAATCTAGTGGAAGACGCATCCTGGACAGCTTGATCAGCTTGGAAGGAAAAACCGTGAACGGCCGACTTACAAGAGATCCGCAAGGTTCCCAAAAGTTCGCAAGAGATCCGCATACAAAATATATGTTTGCATTGCTCTGGGTTTGGGGTTGTGAAGAAGCCCTTACAAAGGGGAATGCATGTTTCGCCTGACAGGTTGTAACTCTTTGACCAGCGTGACCATCCCTGAGTCAGTGACCGAGATCGGATCAGATGCTTTCAGTGGTTGTAGCTCACTTACTACTCTGAGCATTCCTGACTCAGTGACTGATATTGGAGAACGAGCCTTTTTGAGCTGTAGCTCATTGACAGACTTGGACTTGTCGGGCTCTTTACTGATCATCCAAGCCGGTATTCTGATGAATTGCAACTCTCTCCGAAGGTTGACTATCCCAAGCTCGGTTACATACATTGGAAAAGACGCTTTTAGTGGTTGCACTTCATTGAAAAGCTTGACCATCCCTGATTCTGTGACGCGTGTGAGACACAATGCCTTGAAAGGTTGTAGCTCGTTGACAGGCTTGACACTGCCCGGTTCTCTTGCTTCCGTTGAAGCATGCACATTTAAAGATTGTAAGTCTTTGACAAACCTCGCTATCCCCGACTCCATGATGTTCATTGGACCTGAAGCCTTCAGCTGCTGCAGTGCTTTGACCAGCTTGAGAATACCCAACTCTATGCGCAGCATTGCTTACTACACCTTTCGTGGATGCTGGTCCTTGAAAGATATTACAATCCCCGATTCTGTGACTCAGATTGAAGCGTGTGCATTTCAAGATTGCAAGTCTTTGACGAGTTTGTCCATCCCCGACTCCGTGTGTCTCATTGGATCGCATGCGTTCAGCGGCTGCATTTCGTTGACAAGTTTGAGGCTTCCCAGCTCGAAATTGACTCGTATTGAAGCATGTGCTTTCAAGGACTGCAAGTCCTTGACCACTTTCACCATCCCTGACTCTGTGTCTTTTCTTGGAGCCAGTGTCCTCAGTGGCTGCAGTTCTTTATCCAACTTGGATGTTCCTGACTCTTTGGCTTCGTTTGATCTAGGTCTCTAGGTCTCGCCTAGGTCTCGCCACGGTCTCGCACGCGGTTGAAGGCCGGACTTGGTCGAAGAGCAAAAAGGGTGGTGAGCTGAGCTGGTCCGGCCAAGGGTGATCTGCTTTGGGGAAGATGATGATATTCGTTGGATGCGAACCATGTTGGAATTCTCTACCAGCACCCAACCTCACAGGTCACCACCTACCACTTCTAAGTTGGAGGGTGCTTGTAGGAGGCGGAAGGTCTTGAGATTCCCCACAAAATCTTCTTGTCAACACTCCATTGAGAAGCTCTCAAAGTTGCTGCACCAGCTGCAAGGTGAGAAAGGGGGTCGACAGAGACCATAGTGAGCGAGCATTCCTCAAGGAAAACTTTTGTTGATGGCTTAGTGTAGACATGTGCGGGGTTCTTTTCACAAGTACTTCAGTGATTTTGTTTTATTTTGGAACTTATATAACTATAACTAAGTCTTACTAGTCGTCAACCACAGTCAAGGGAGTAAATACTCTATACGACTGAATGATGATTTCATGTGACCGAGTTGTTTGTTTGTCCTGCTTTTTAACATGTCTTCTTTTTAAGCTAGGGATGCCCTTGTTCCGTTCGTAGCTTCTTGTTACTTGTTGTACTGCCAGGAGCTACGTTCGTAGCGTCCTGGTTCCGTTCGTCGCGATGCCGCGATGCCAGGCCACTGAGCTCAACGGCCTGCAATGCACGTGGCGACGGCTGGTTTGGATCATAGAGGAACGTGTTCCACAGGAAAATCGACAAGCTGGATCATCTTTTTCTGGGCTTCTTGGTGTTTTTTGTACCCCAGATTTTGTGAGAATGATTTTGGTTTTGGAGTACAGTGGTTTCAGATGGTTTCAGAGCAGATGGCACTGGCACCCCATAATGTCTGTCCATTAAAACCACCAAACCTGGGGTAACTTGTGCCATCTACTCTGAAACCACTGTAGATTGTCCTGTAGTAAAATCCTATGATTGAGACATGGCAGGGATTGCGTCATACGGTGTGCCATGTGTGACTTTTTAATGGCCACTTTGGGCCGTTCAGAACACCTTCGGCGACCAAGCTGTGGAAGAAGCAACGGCCAAAGCATGCTGATTGAGTTGAGTGGATTTATGAAGTGAGCAAGCAACCAGTGACGGCGACAGTAAGACTTACCCAGTCCACGAAACTGGTCCCAAATCAATTTGCCTCATCATCACATCGGGCGCGTCACTTTTGACCAACCTCGGTGGAACACTTAAGTCCTGAATGAGATGAATGAATCTTCGATGACATGTTTTCTAAACACCCACAGCGCCACGCGACGAGTCGCCGATCTCGCCACCGGCCGGATTGGCCCACACCACCACCGCTCCTCCGCAACCGCCGATCTCGCCGGATCTCAGCTCCCGTCGCCAGGCTTTGGCGCTTGGACACGGAGTCCGGTCGCTGGGAAGTGAAGCTGCCGGACGGCGAGGCCGGTGGCGCGGTGGCGTGGATGCGGCGAATGCGGAGGCAGCGAAGGGCGGCGGGTTGCGGGCAGATGTTGAGTGAGAAGGAAGACACGAGAATGGCGTAGGATTTGAGGATGTGTTGTAGGGTATAGTGGGTCAGACACTCCATCCCCTAGGGATCCAAGTTCCTTCTCAGAAGGTACTTGGACCCTCCAAACCTACATAGCTGTGTCTCCAATCACCTGCTGAGAAGGTACTTGGATCCCTAGGGATCCAGGTAACCATGTTAATTTTTGGCGAGTGTACACAGAAGTGGCTGTGCTTTGGGGATGCAACTATGATCGAGTATGAGTCGCCGCTTCAAGCAGAGCACTGGCTCCACGGCATGATTTGGCATTGCTACGGAGAGTGTGCACCGCTGCTGTGATCTTTGCGGACGAGACATGACGAGACTACTGACGTCAAAAAGAACCTTTTGGGCTCCAAATACCTCAGAAGGAGTTTCAGAAGGTATTTGGACCCTATTGGCACCCTCCGAAACACCTTCCAAACGAAGGTAGTTGGAGCGCTGGTGATATTTTGTTACTTCCTGGCAGTTGGTACCGTCGTTTGTCTACCATTCCTCAGACCGACCACCGAACCAACGCCGGCCAGCAGCGTGTGGCGGGGTGGCCGCGTGGCCCACCATTTTGTTTCGCCACCCGGTGCCTGGAAGTGGGGAGAGTTGGCGGCATCTCTACAAGAAACCAAAGGATTTCTTGCATGTGTTGCCTCCTCTTGATGGTCACTTACATCTCTCCAACTTGATCAGACAACGGAGTTCTGGGTCTGACCAGAGATCAGAGGTGCTTCAGGATGAATTCAGCGGTTTGACCTGAAGAGCCAGGAGCATTTGCACACGATGCCGACGGCCGGAGCGGCCGCCTCCGGTGACAGTCAGACTCACCTCCACAAGTATGAGATTGGAACCCGTGCTGTTTTAGGTGTCCTCTGACAAGACGCCTACTCTGCCTATTCTGCTTTGGCTGGCGGGCCATATGTATACACGGTGCTGAGTACTGTCATGATGCTGGTCATCAGGAACACTCAGTTTGCTGGTTGTGTGTTGGCAGCTAGTTATATAGTTGGCCTGGTAGCAAGAACCTTTCAAACATGTTCAAACCTATCTCATATAATAATCAATTGCAGCATGGTAAGGTGGGTTGCATAAGCAGGTAGTTGTCCAACTATGAGCATGGCAGCCAGTAGATCAAACGTGGAACAATCTAAGCGGATTTTCACGTTCTTGAAGTAATGTTCTATTCACTGATTCAATCGCGCCTACTTACTGCTTTGGGTGAAAGCTGCTGGACTGGAGGTCGACGGGTTTGGAAAGGCGGCCTCCAACAGTTACTTTTCGTGGGGACACCTCATCACAGAGCCAATCACAACGGCCCTTGCATTCGGAAGCTCATTCTCCATGCTGTTTCTTGGCCATCCATCCATCCATCCATCCATCCATCCAACCATCCATCCATCCATCCATCCATCCATCCATCAACCATCGATGTTTCTACAGTTCGGCTCCTCAACTGATTATCTAAATCTAAATCTCTTGCCCATCTTCCCTGCGCCAAACCAGCTGACCACACCAGTCCTGCTCTCGGCGCCTTCTTGGCGTCTTAAGTCGCGACCTCGCTGCGGCGAAGCTCCGACACGGCAGGTGAAGTCCCTGCGCCCAGTGCACCTCATCTTCCGTGGCATAGGCGCCGGTCCATCGAATGCGTCGAACACGCGAGGGCGGGAAGGGTGGTGATGGAAGGGCGGGGAGCAGACTCCGCATAAAGGGAGGGCTTGGATGATGGATGTGGTAATGCTGTGGTGGGCAGAAGTTTGCCAGATTGGGATGTTTTTTCTGGAAACTTGGCCCTCAGAAGCCAAAAGCGCAAAAGAACCCCTGCAAATCGACAGCAGTGCATGGACTCACCCCAACCAGAGCCGAGAAGAAGGGCCCGGCACCGCGGATTTGGCGAAGTCTTGCTCCTGGAGGGTCCGCACCCCCTGACGACGGAACCCCGGAAGCCCTCAACCAAAATCCGCAGAGGTCACACGCCGGGTGACGTGGTGAGGTCCCATCGAGGACGACGGCTCGTTGACCTTGATCGGCATGGCGTCAGAGCACCAAACCATCCACCGAGTGTGCGGGCCCGAACCCGCGGAACAAGAGGAAACGGGCCCGCCCAGCGGGAGACGCAGGCGACGCAGGAGTGGGGAGACGCACGAATGGGAGATGGAGGGCTAGATGGAGAGATGGAGTTTGTGGCTGTGGATTCAAGATTGTTGTGGAGTTGTGGAAGGATGCGGCAAAATGCTTGTGATTCTACAGCCTATTATTAGTTCATATTATAAATTAAGTCTATACGTTTCTAGAATTAGTTGGATGTACATTGTGGATGCACCGCACCTGTATTGGATCTTGTTTGTTCTCAAAAGCGCAGCTGAAATTGGTGGTGTTGGGAGCCTCACCTGACATACTACCACCTGTAATCAACTTGAAGGGCCCGCCGTATCAAGAACATCCGAAATTCCAGGGATGAGGCCGCTGCTTAGAGGTTTGGGTTCCAGATGTCGAACTTGGCTTGGATGTCGAACATCGAAGACATCTCACCTTGGCCAAAAAGACTGCTCTTTTCGTGTCTTTTTACCGACTGTTACAGGTACAAACCATGATCGTACAGCAAGTACTGGTAATGGGATGTGGTACCCAATTATTGATGCAGTTTTACAGATCTCGTACCCAATGCTTTACCATGTTTTTGACACCTATACTATGTAGAGGTCGCAAGTGCGGCCACTACCATCCACTACCCAACGGTCTCGTTGTCCAGTCGTTGCGTCTCTTCGGACTGAACCAGATGACGGGTGTGGATGTGGGTCATGGCTGTGGGGGACCGACCGATAGGCTCCTGGTAGGTCCCCCAAAACCCCAGGTGCTCCGCCCGGTCCTAACGACGGCATCGCTCCGCCCGGACCCGTTCGGACCCGTTCGGACCGGAAAGAACATGGGACGTTTGACCCCATGTTCCGAGCTACGAAGGGGTCGGGGTGAAATGGGGTGCGGCAACGACTGACACCAGGTAGATCAACCGGTCAGTAACCTGCTTTTGGCCACCGCCTTGTGTCAATATGTCTTAATCCATCCCAGGGCATCCAGTTGTTGGACTTCCTAGGGTCTTAATCTATGGTTCTTGTGGCTCTTGTGACAGTCCTTCTTTGCAAAATGCATGTGAAATTGGTTTGTCCACCAGCTGAGCATTTTCAAGGCGAAGCCTGGTGCCAGAAAGGATGGGCAAGCCCGGATTGAAGCAAGTCCCGACAAAAACATTGATTTGACCACTGGCCTTAGCCAACGTACAGATAGCTCGCGATCGTTGTGGGCATCAAATCACAGTAGCCCGGATGGTTCAAGATATTTGTTAGTGGAGGTCTCTCCTGATGGTATGCAGTGACGGGTTCTGTTTTCAGTTCCAGAGCCCAAGCGAGATGTTATTCTATGTTCTTTGGTGGGTGGAAGGGTGACTTGAGAATGACA